GGATGTTCCCTGCAACGGGGACTCCTTGGAAAGCGCGCTCCTGGTGTACCGGAGAGCGAGGCGAGGCTTCAGACGGAGCCTCACAGTGGCCCTCTTTTGCCCTCGGGAGGGAGTGCACACCCTCCGTAACCGAGAGGCCCGGCAGTGAGCCTTAGACGGCTCACCTCGCACCCGGGCAGCCTGGCCCCCCGAGGTCCCGCCACCCGCAGGCTTCGGCCGACACGCAGTTGTGGCCCCTTTTCGGGCTATGACCAGAGTGAGCAACACGCCTCGGGAGCAAAATTTAAGGGGCACCAAAAAGCCAGTGGTCAAAATAAATACCTTAATGCAATGCTTTCCGAAGCAATTAAAATGAATGCCAAAAACTATGATGAACAAAATATAGACAGGACCTCTACGTAGCGCCCTGCTGAGCCACTCTGTAGCCCGAGGTACAAGGAAGGTGCCCGGGGCTGCGGTGTGCGGAGAGTCGGGGCGCCGGGGAGAGGAGCGCGGGCCTCAGGCCTCGGAAGTGGAGGCCCCCGAGGGCGCGGTGGGGGCGTGGAAGAGTGGCCCTGGGGGGCGGAGGTGAGAGATCAGAGGGCAGCTTAGCCCGGAACAAAGGCGGAGCGGAAGGCCAGCTGGGGGCTGGAGGGACTCGGGGGGCTGCCCCGGCCTGGAGTGGAAGACGCGACCCCCCGCGGGCGAGTCCCGCACTTCTCCAGCGCGCTGGTGAATTCTCGCTGGCGAGGCTTGGCAAGATGTCGCGCGAATAATTTGTGGCTTCTGTCCTGTCCCCATCTCGGGGCGCACAAACCACCCTGCCAAAAGCCGCCTCGGGGAAATTAAATGCATAAGTTAATCCGGGGGTGGGGTGGGGATGCTACGTGACCTGGAAAGGGGGGTGCAGAGACCTGCGTCTGCCCCGGAGCTTATTAAATCCTTGACACGTAAATGCCTCCGTCTAGCTTCGCACCAGATGCGGACCCTCATCGTTATTTCCCGAGAAGACAATTTGCACATGTGCAATCTGGGGTGAGGGCTTTTCCAAAAGCCTAAATAAATAAATAAGTGAATATCGGATTTCCTTGCCCACCAGGGTTAAACAAACATCTTTAGGAAGCGTGGACGCGAGCGGCACCCTGCCTGCCTCCCGAGGAGCAGCGTTCCGGCAGTGAATGCCCCCCCTCGGGGTCGTAAAGAGCAGACCCAACACCCCGCTCCCATTACTGGACTTCGGGGAGGGAGGGCTTTCTCTTTCATCTTCTAAGTCGGGGCTTGCCCACGTCCTCGGGAAGCTATAAAGCTGATTTAATGGCTTAAGATGAAAATAGATCACGCTAATGCATAAGCTAACGTCAGAGGAATCGCCTTTGGAAAAAAACGGCCAGCCTGGCCGAACGCGCTCCGTAAGCCGGGGGCCAGGAGGTTCCAGGCCCGGCCTGGCGGACAGTGGCGCCGGGTCCCCTCTCCGCTG